TTTTTTTTTTTTGTGCTCTTGAGGCAACTTTGCATGCCACTTCCTTCGTTAGCTGACAATTGTCGGCGTGTTTTGGCCCGCATTTCTGTTCTGCTGCAGTTTTAATTAGCCCACTTGATGCCGTATGCATTGTAAACTGTCGCGCACCTTTTTTTTTCGTTTTTTCATTTTTAATTTATTAACGACATCGTAAATTTTTAATTACAAATGGCTACAAGACATTATGCAGATTATGCGGCCCACAGATTCACATCGAGCTAGAGCGTGTGCGTGTGGGGCGGTTATGTAAATCACACTACTCACATGGTCCACTCTGGACTACCTCAATTATTTGAGCCCAATTCAGCTGCTAAAATACTTTCGAGTGTCCGACTGGGCCCAAGGGCTTTTTGGCCAAATTGGCGCCATACAATTTGTCGACTGCCTTTCTATATAAGTAGATTTTTGTTTCTCTTTCTTTTTTTCTTTTCTTTTTTGCATATTATTTTTATAAATTGCTCCTCATTAACGGCTTTATGGGGCAGTGAGAGGAATACGCTCAGAGCAATTAGATGAAAGATTGTAGGCCAAAATATAGAGCTTTGAAAGAGCCGCTTTCTAACTGATGCTGGCAGCGTGGGCGTTGTTTTATTTTTTTCGGGAAATATTTCAGTTTATATGCAGGTAAATTAAGTACACTACAAGTGGAGAAGTTATAGACGTGAAATTATTTGTAGAGAATGTACTCTCTTCATATTTTAATAATATTTGAAATAAAACTTTTGCTATGCTTCATTCTTCTCTTCTTGGAATATATAATATAAAACTTTCAAACCTACTTGAAACTAATTTATATCAATTTTGTCTTCTTAAGTCGAAAATTCCAAAGGCGCTTCAAGCTTTTGAAGTCTTTATTAGTTAAAAATTCTTAACTTGGCTAATATGTCTAAGACAGCGATTCTCAATGGCTTCGTGGAATCTACTGTATAATTATATCTATGCCTGTTCTATTTTAAGAAATATAACTTTTGGATAAGCTTTTGAAGCCATAACAAATTAATTTGTATACACCAAAATACCCTACAATAGCTCATGCCCCAAAGGGGTATCAATTCCTTTTGCTATCTATACAGTCAAGTCGCATCTATTCGCCAATCATGTTTCATTACCTAATCTATCTAATCTCAAGCAATCAATCTGCTCTGATTACCCTGCCCAAAAATTTCATTAGCCCCAATTGCCAAGTCTCATGAATCAAGTACTATATCTTCACTTAAAAAGAGAGTAAAAATTGCCGCAAGGAAAGTAAAAGCAACACTCACTCGCAACTACTTCCGGGCAGCTAACTTTATTTTGCAAATGCAAATTGGTTAGAGAGAGATAGAGAGAGAGGGTGAGAGAGAAAGACGAGAATGATAGGAAGAAGGGCAGACAACCAAACAAAAGACTTAGGCAACAAACTTGTCGAAATGAAAATTAGCTGCTGAAGTTGCTTTTTGTTTTTTTTTGGGCGGAAAACGTGAAAAGCTACTTGAGCTTGAAAACTGTGCGTAGTCGAGCAGCTAATTTGCTATTGTTGCAAACGAAAGCCCCATCGTCGCATTCCATGACGCCCACTCCACGCCAAGAGTTTTTTTTCTTTTGGCTACGCACATAAATCCACAAGTCATTTAACCACGCTAACTGACAATTAACGCATTAGCAGCGACAACGACAGCGACTGCGTTGCTCTGGCCGTTGCTCTGGCCGTGTGGGCGTTGCGTCGTTTCTTTTTGATGGTTACGCATACGACGCGTTGGCTGCGCGCATAATGATTTCCATTTATCGCTGTATCTGCGAGCTGGATTGTGAGCTCTGTGTGCTTATTACGCACCATTATCCACACACACACACACACATACACATACACAGGCGCATATTGACTTACATTATTATGCATAAGCCGATACGCTTCCAGTCACAATAAGCCGCACAGTTCACTTGATTTCAGTGCTGGCTTTGTGTATTTGTTTTGGTCTTCTGGCCGTCACAATGCCAAGGCAACTGAGTCTCATTGTCTGCCCATTATTTGGCTAATTACACATTTCAATCGATCAGCGATGATCAATGTTATGATTATGTCTGATTTATTCAATTGTTCGGCTCGAGCTTAACCGGCTCAGCGTAAACTGTCGTAGCCAATTGTGGCCCTCTTAAGAGAACTCCATTCAAATGAAGGTAAGCTCCATATATTTACAATGAATGAGTGAGATTTGTGGTTGTTTTTTGAAGGTATTCCATATTCCTACTTTTTTTGTAGCTCCTTGAAAATGTTAGATAAGATTTGGAGCTGCTTTTGTGGCCTCTGCAATTTGGAATTTGCTTAAACTACTTTGT